CACGTAGTGAAGTAGCGGCTCGACTTAGGTGGGGGCGTTTAGATATTTTATAGAGGAGCATACAAGGGAATAAAAGGAAGGAAAGTTATGATGGCTGCGGATCTCAGGTAATGCACGGGCATTGGCAAGTTTACGAGCCGTAAAGAGGTGGTTCCACCCTCTAAGACCCTTATATGTGTACAGTTCACGGTAAGCATAAGAATTTCAACGCCTTTTTTTTGAAGGTAGAAGGGGAAGAAGATGCGATGACAATACGAGATGATTTTCCGTGACCTGCAAGATATCTGCTTTTCGTTATTCATCGCTTTCCACGAAAACTGTTGTGATCATCTTCTGTGGTGTATCCCGAGAGCTAATTCCGTAACTGAAATATTGGAAGTTGCCATAAAACAGCCGCGCAATCGACACGGAAATAGCATTGCTCGGCCCGGTGCACCCGCAAGGTAATCGAAATTGCTTCGTCGAGTTGTATAGAATTTGGAATTTGTCCCACGAAATTGCTTCGTAAACAACAGGTCCTGATATTTTATGGGAATTTTTATGCCGTTTTACGTGTAATAGTGCGTGGGAAAGTGCCTAGGATGAAATTGCGAATAATGACGTTTAGAATTTTCTAGCGTATACCGAGTATAATAATAGGAAGATAATTTGTTTTGTACAGAATTTCAGATTTGTCACGGGAAAATGTTTGGTAACTCATTTTAAGAATCGTATTTCAAATAACTAGTATATAGTCGGATAAAGATAATTGAGAATACAAGTATAAGTTGTGTCATTATGTGGATAATACGATAATATGTATTAATAAATGATTATTATCAGTAACAAGTATAGACATGTTCTTAGAGCTACGAATGGATAACGACAGTACGCTATAAATGGTTTTCTAACTTTAATAACGAAACTCTCAACTTGAAAATTGTATAAACTGCATTAAAATTGATTGTAGTTTGAAATTAGTTGCCCAAACTAAATTTCACTTCTTTAATTAATTTCGCTGAGAGGGCGTAAACAGTTATGTCTGAAAATTACGCTTTTCTACGTTCCTCTTGATATAGCAAAATGATAATGTCATATTTGCGGCAACCCTTTATGTCTTGTTACACATTCTTCCTTGTTTCAGGAATGCTCAAATTTTACGTAGCTTTATCTACAACTAACTCCGAATTCCATCTCGTCGACTAAGTTATCTCGTCGCTTCCGTAATATATTGTATGATTTAAAAAAAATTTCATCACGAATGCGACAACTTCATCCCGTTTTCCACATTCTCAACATCCTATGCACTTGGCAGCTGTCTAATTAATCTTGCTATTACTTTTGCTATGCATATTTTCTTTTCTCATTTCCACATACGCTAACGAAAACATGAAAATGTAAAAAAACGCAAAGCTGTTGCGAAGAATTTTTGCAAAATGTTAAAAACGCTGCATATATCTCCGATAAGATAGAACGACAGTAGTATATACCAATATGTAGTCAGACAAGTGCTACTCTGGCTGTCTCTCGCAGCAGATATCATCGAAGTATACGATACTGGCATTTTTTTGCATATTGCGTTCAAATAATATCTCTTTTATATGTACAGTGCTGTACTAAAATCTTACCGTGGCTCATCGAGAAGAAATATTACAGTTTTACGAACGCGTTGAGAAACGTTTGGTACTATGTTAATTTTCATCGACTCGTTGGTCGTTTTTTTAAAGAAGTATTTAGTTAAAAACTCATGATTTGAAATAATTCATACCTTTAACAAGTTCTTCGTTTGTTTCCAAAAGTAATAACTCTTTCAGAAACATCAACGAATAAGTTTTTAATCGCTTAACTTCGCACTCTCTGCTATTTTCTTATTAATATTTCAGGAAGCCGCTTCTCGTTTCGCTTCTTTTCTCTCCTGGCTTATCTCTATGCGTATTTTATAAGATTTAGAACGAGGCTCTATTTATTGCAGTAGTTTCAAATTTGCGAATCAGGAGCAACCATAAATAAGCAACACCATAAACAGAATTTCTGATATAGTTGGCGTAAGACTTCAGCACAGCGTATTTTCTTCTCTCGTATTCGTAAGCGCATAAACGCACCATCCATACGAACAAGATTTTTTAATCGACAACAAGTTCTACGTATACGAAAACCCATATTAATTACGCGAATAATTTCATCTGCAAGTAGTATGTATCAATACATCCTAAAATATAATATCACGTAACTCATCTGAAGGCGAGATAACGAAATTCTAGACGATCTGTCATAAACAAGACTCAGCGGAAAGCTTTCTCGAAGAAAGAGCAGGCAAAAAGGAATGAGACAAAAATGCGAGACGAAGGAAAATATTGAAGGTGGGCAGGGAAACAACGTAAACCCCTTTCACGCGGGATTATCTTCTAAACGCGATCCTCGCCGTTTCTTTCGAGGCGCAGAGTGGCCTGATGCGCGGCGTTCTGAAATCTCGATGCCGTTACTTTTCATTTTCCGGTAACACCGTCAAACGAGCCGACGCTATCCTCGAATCTAGCCTCGAGAGCGTTTGCTTAAGGAGGGCATTTATCTCGTGTGCCGCCACCGGTTCCAACGCTACAGAAACGAGGAGAAATTTTCGCACTTTGTTCTTATCTGCGCCGCGGAGCCACCCTTTTAAGGCGACGCGTTATATTTCCGACCGCTAAGGAGGACGACGAGAATTTTGGCTAGCTAGCCATTCTTTCACCTGCGCCAACTAAATCCGAAACGTCCTGAAAATGAGAATTTTTTCCCCCCCTCTGTTTAGAATGCGTCATTGAGAAAAGAAAGGATATTATCGAGATGGAAAGAAAATGTTCATTTTTTAGATAAAAAGAATTGAAGCAGAATTTTGCTTTTTGAGGGTACAGTTTACTAAGAGACGCTTATGGAATTCGCGAATTAATTTATGATTTCAAAGTATTTCGAAATATATTCGTAAATTATATTTATATTTTATTTTTATTTAAATTATACGACTATGTATTCGACGTGTGGATATTCTTTAATGTCGTGCAAATTAAACAGACTTCCTTGCTCTATCTCAAAGCAATTAAATCCTCCTATATTTTCTGCACATCGATTAAGCAATGAAATGATTAATCGTTTATCGCAGGAAACTCTGAAATTATAAAGTACCGGGAGAAAATTAACTCCGTAGATAAAATGTACTTTATTTATCCGCAATTACTACCATAAAACCCGTAAGCGCAGTGCCATTCATTTAGTTTTACGTTCTTTTCCACTTTCATCACTTTTCAACGCCATTAATTCGCCATCGAAGGCGTAACGAGCTCGTATGATAGTGCGAGTCACACACGAGCGCAATAAATTTCTCTATCGTACATGCAAATGAAATTAGTAGCTTGTTCCATGGGGCTCGACGAAAGAACAGAGGGAAAAAAAAAGAAGAAATATGAAAACGTAGCAGTGATTTCTGCTCTTCGATCGAGCACAACAAGCGACGGTATTATTTCGTTCTATTGCCCCGTTCTGTATTCTACGGTATCGCGGAGCCAGACGTCGCGTAATGTAGAAATATGAAACTTGTCGGTGGCAGGATATTAGAATGTTTCGATCGATGAACGATGCGACACACAGAAAACGGATTTATGTTGCAAATTGCGCTTTGATGTCCGATGGAAGAACGAATCGAGCAAATATTTCGCGTGATACTACGTTATTTAGCACACGGTCCATCTTTGTCGAATGATATAGTAACAGAAATTGCAAGAGTTTTCCTGTAGAACACCTTTCTCTTTGTTTTTCTGTGCTTGTTTGTTACATTTTGTCGCTATAGTATAACATATCAATAATAGTAATACGCGTATCAATCGTTTTATCAATTATTAAGTGCGGGCTTTCAATGTACTTTTCAAAGAACTTCTTAAGACGATCTGCGTGCTTTTTGTAATACTGAAAAATACTACATATCAGTCGGAACAGATTATTTTATTACAAATAAAATGCTCTGAATAATGTTTCAGTTCAATGATCGAGCGTTCGTCTCCGCAATATTATACTCAAATCACTTAGGTGGATTATAAAATGTCATCATAACTTGAAAATAAAACTATAGGAATATTTTTTTGTATCCTACAATTTAAGTATTTCGTAGATTCTTCTTTTTGTAGTACGCGCTATTAATCGAAAATATTTAGAATACTGTGCAACATAAAATATATAATATAGTTCTTTCACGAGCATTTGTGAAAATACTGGTATACAAGATACAGTAACAATAGAAAAAAAAATAAACAAATATATTTTTAAGGTTTTTGTAAAACCCTTATTGCAATATAGAAGATGAGAATTAGAATTAGAATGCAAAGAATAAAAAGATTAAGGAAAGAAAATGCAAGACTATCGTTTAAGTATACTTATACAATGCATGTATAGATCAATGCATTTGAAGCCTGATAATTTCTTGTATTCAGTGTTTTAATAAATATTCATGAAAATTAGGCTTTGTGCAATTTTAGATCAACGCGATAAATTACATGGTATTTGAGAAATATATTTTATAATTCTGTTATCTCATTTTGTAGAGAATCCAATTAGCAAGCAATTTTCTCTTCTTTATTTTTACGTTATTTTTCACGTAGTACCTCCAATGCGTGCTATTATACCCATTTTTTATTGTAAACGCATTTACGTTACGAAACTAATAGTAGCATGATTTTTTGCCACACTTTAAAAGTGAGTGCCCTGAAACACATTTATTTCACAAATAACACATCGTTCCAAAAACACAATAAACATTGTGCATAATAACTTTGTGATTTTTAATTAAGACTATGGAATTAAATAACAACACTACGCGAAAAAGAAAAAAAACAAGAAAAAAGACATTCCGAGTCGGCAAATAATAAAGAAACTATCGACTTCGTTCGTTTCAATCGTTCGAGTTTCAACCTCACCTTATCCACTTGTAGCAAGAAGATAAACGCGTTTTATCACAATATTACTGATATCAGTTCCGTTATTACTAGTCGCTACCTGAGTTCAGACTCAGTCTCTTTTAGTAAATTAAACAAATCGGTGCAATCTACTTCTGCTAAAAATGCGAAACGAGTTTTGTATCGGTGTTTTTGCTTTTCCAAAGTCGATCGTTTTCTGCTGTCTCCTCCTTTTACTGAGCAGTCAGATATCAGCGCAAACTGAGAATGAATCGTTCGAGAATGCGTTCGATCTGGATGAGACCCAATCTATGGATAATAAAAAATCGAACGCCGAAAGTAATAAGTATACCGGACAGATATCTCCGATAAGAAAGCAAAGTTTATCCGGACAAGTGGATGTGAACGAAGACGAAGGTAATCACGATGACAAGGACGAAACGAAGAAAGGGGTAGAAGAAGTTTCGTTCAATGCCGTTAACAATTCTGACCAAAAAAATAAACCTGAGAATGAAATCACACTTTCCGATGGTTTCTCCGAGAAAATAGCCGGAAGAAGAAATAGAAAGTATGCGAGATACGGTAGGTGTCTCGATACCAATGGGCGTGACTACCATTTGTTTTTTTTATTTGTGTAAAAAATATCAAAAAAATAAATCAAGACAGGATGTCTTTAAAATTTTCAGAGAATTTTGCCGTGAAGAAAAGTTGCACGTAACCCAGGCACATTTTTCTCTTAGGGGTATAATACCTGATTGATAGATGTACTATACGTAATTTTGCTATTTAATTCAATTAACGAATCAAATCTTATCTGTTTTATCAGATAAATCATTGGATCGTATCGTTGTCAGTTTCGTAACACGCTTTTTCAATCTTCCTACCACATATATTTATGATATATTTATGATATCTGAATAAAAATTATTCCCTTTTTTCTACTATTACAATTGGCTTAAGCTAGATGATCGCGTTATGATCCACACGGATACATCTCGTTTTTGTTTCTACGACTTTTGTTTCTAACATTAACAGAAAATCTACAAAACCAGTAACAGTATTTTCATTTTCGTACAAAATTATTAATTAAACTATTAAACGATGCAAATGTTCGAGATTATCGCACGTGACATCAAACATCGATACCAAAATATCAGAACTCCTGTATCCTTACAGATTTATCGGAAGCAGACAGATACGCGCCTCATTCGGATGGTTCAGTTCTAAATTATGTTTTAACGGAGACTAGATTGAAAGAAATTCGATCAAAATTCATGTATTGGTACGTCGACAAGGGTGGTAACAATGACGATGGCGATTATCAAAGGGAAATCCAAGCTTCGATGCCACAAGTACACAAGAATTTCAATTTTCAATTACCATTCTTCGGGCTCAGATTCAATTACACCAGAGTACGTTGTTCTTTGTCATCTGCTTATCAAAGTATCAGTAATTAATAGCTAACCTAATCTGCCAATATTAATAAATCCCCAAGTATTCGTCTAAAGAATACATCACACGTTACAGGTATCAGTAAATGGTTATTTAGAATTTACCGATCCTCCGATGCATTATACTTACCCTCTGGTGTTTCCGGTCAGAAATTGGCCAAAGGAGAACGATCCTAGTTTTATAGGAATATTTTTCAGTAAATGTCGCATAGGAAAAATTCGACCAACAGACATAGACCAGAGGAGACCTGGCGTATACTTTAGGTAGGTTAAAAATTACAAAAATTATTAAATAAAACATTGAATAACGTAGGGATCGATTACGAAAATGAATTTTAGAGTGGAAGAAGATTTGCAAAACAGAACAGATCAATTTGGCGTGGAAATGCGCGAACGTCTCAAATGGGATATTCGCGAAGGAATGATTGGAGCCGAAGCCTTCGACCCTAAACACGCGGTCGTAGTAACATGGAAAAATGTGTCGTTCGTCGGTGGTATCGATAATTCCCTCTACAAAACGAATACGTTCCAAATGGTCTTGGCCACAGACGAAGTGAACACTTACGTGATATTTAATTATCTGAATATTCAATGGACCAGCCACACGGAAGCTGGCGGTGATACTGTGAATGGAGAAGGTGGAATCTCGGCATTCGTAAGTTCATTCGAATCAATTTTTATACACGTTTCGCTTTTTAGGACTGCGCTAAATACATATTGATACATTAGACGAATCTTCTGTTATTCTTTGGTATAAAAATTTCATTATTTATTCAAGAACATAATTGCTTATTAGCTAAAGATAGATTTATTGTCGTAACTCGAAAAGTTTCTATTTTATAATTAATCGGTTGAAATTAATTAACCATTGTAACCTACGTATAGGTGGGTTTCAATGCCGGAAATGGCACAGGAAGCTACGAATACGAACCCTACTCACAAACGTGGATGATCCGCGATTTAACCAGAAGAGGATGTGTGAATGGTTTTCCAGGACGTCATATGTTTAAGATAGATGACGACATAATGCCTTCGGCATTCGGTTCGAGGCCACAAAGGTCCTGCAACTTAGGCTATTAAGTTAAACGAATTACTAAGTTGGTTGCTAACTGGTAATGCAAGTAACATCTTGTATAGCATTTATCTAAATAAACATTGCTCCTAAAATTAATAAATATCCACTGAGTTATGAAACGGAGTGTACGTAGGTATCTACCTTTTGCAAAAATTACCTTTTTGAAAATGGAACTTCTGTAACTAACTTCGCGAAACTAAACCTTCGCGTGGAGGGTTCGTTCGATAATTCATAAAATGCAAGTAACTTATGAAAAAAAAACTCCGATTATTCTTTCGACATTCAGCATGATCACAGATTAGAAACATCGAAAGAATTCCCAGTAAGCAAATAAAATAGCATACATCTACCAAATAAAAGAAAAAGAAAGATATGGGTTAGGCGGTAAAAAAAAAAAGAAAAGAAAGAACAAGCGAGCTCGAAGAAGAAGAAGAAGAAGGAGAAGAAGAAAGGCAAGCAACAGTAGAAAGGAAACTCACCGTCTTTCCTCTGTCTCCTCCATGGTAGGGTACCGTGAATACTCTCGACGTCGGAGATATCGCTTCCGAGCAGTTGCCTGAGCTCCGCGTCCGCGCGATCCTCTTTCGTCCTGAATTTACCAACCTGTAACGATCAGAGTGGATGTCGAATTCACGTGAACAGGCTGAGTGGTTGAAAAACGAGGGATGGAAAGAAGGGGAGGGGCGTCAGTTGGGTAAGAGATCCGCGTACGTTCGACGATATCGCGACAGAAATGAAAACGGAGACAAGCGGGATATTAATGCAACGGTAGGCAAGAAAAGAAATTGATTCTCCCCGCGGCAAAAAAGCAATTTATTCCCCTCGCCGGAGCGCACCATAATGCCGTTCACGCTCCGATAACTGTATTTGATGAGAGAGGAAAGTGGGGCCGGCCCTTCTGAAAGATTTTCAGCGGCCACCGTCGCCGCC